CCTTTTTGCGAGCCCCCCCGCCCCATAGAAAAAAAAAAAAAAAAAAAAAGGGAACCAGCAGTTAGCGTAATGGCTATGTCGCTGGTACTCCCACGTAGTCAACCACGGTTCGTGTCCCGGACCCGGTGGCTTAAATCTCACGCCAGGCGCATTTGCGTGCGTGCCCAAGATCCTGAGAGGAGAATGGAGGAGAAGGGATTGCGGCATGGCCATCCCCCCGGGGGGTGATTTCTCGCTTTCTGTCTCTATGTCTCTCTCTGTCTGTCTGGCGAGCGCACGCGCCCTACAGTGAAAATCTCTCAAAAACAAAACAAAACAAAACAAAACAAAAAACACTCTCCCAAAAATAAATAAATAAAGCTGTCCTGATAAACAATTTCAGGAAAGGACCTAGAGAATAACTTTTCGGGTAACAAGTATTGAGCTCTTATCTGAGTTATCCACCTATGAGTTAGGCTAAAGAAAGGTTAACTATGAGTTGTCACTGGGTCTCTCCCTCCAACTGTCAAACCTATTCTAAGATCACAGGATTTTTTAATATCCCCCCAGACCAAGAGAACCCATATTTCCTTTCTGGTACTTGTACACTAGCAAAGACTTATTAGCCTGCATACAAGTAACAAAGACTTAACTTTAACCCCTTGTTTTCTCTCTTGATACACTATTTTTGAAGAAAATGCTTTGAAAGTTTGTACTCTGTTGTAGACATTGAGATGTCCCTCCAAATGTCCACTTGGAAATGACTAACTGAGAAAAAGTGTAAGCCTGGGACTTTACGAAAACAAATAGACCAGAGGTTTCACTGTTTCAAAATCTTTCTGAGCTAGGCTTCTCAGATTTATAAGAAAGTAAAATAATTCAACTAGAGAGCCCACAAAGTCTGCAGTGGGATCAGATGTTTACCAATAACCACTTCTTTTTCAGACTAGCTCTAGGCTAACCATGATCAAGCCATGACCAAATTAGGGATGTACCAGGTAGTATAAAATTTAATCAAAACACAGTTGGGCAATAAATAGAAAATACTGTTCAAGTTAAGGCATGGGCATTACAACTACAAAGTTTAACAGTGTCCTCTTGTAAGGTGGTCTCAGATTCAAGTCACTGCAGGTCACCTGGCAATGTACAATCACCAGAGAGAAGAGTTACTTTCTAACAATTCAGCAACTGGGAAAACTGACAGAACTAAGAAGGCTGGTTTAGGTAAGACAGTTAAGTAGTCTAAGATATGTCAGAGCTCAAAAAGTGATGTTAAAGTAGCCAAAACAGGGAAGGATCTGGTGGTATGATAAACAGAGAAATACTAAGAGGGCATGGATCAAATATTTTGGGGTAAGAAGGGCAACAAACCTGATTCTAAAGGGGGAGAAGGGAGCCATAGCACATCTATAGGTGATGAGCTACAGCAGATATTCTCAAAGTAATTGGCATGAGAATCACTTGGATGTGAGACCAGCAGACAGTGTAACAGTTATGTCACTAGAATCCCACATGGCCACCCGCAGTCTAAGTCCCAGATCCAGCAGCTTATAACTCACACTGGATACCTGTGCATATGTGCCCAAAATCCCAAGAGGAGAGTGGAAGGCAGGATTGTGGTGTGGCCATCCCCGCCTTGAGGGTGATTTTTCACTTTCTGTCTCTCTGTCTCTCTCTGTCTCTCTCTGTCAGACAAGCACTTTGCACCCTATAATAGCAAAAGTAAAGAAAAAAAAGAAAGCAAAAAAAGAAAGAATCACTTAGATGGTTCGGTTAAAAATAATAATAATAAATCAGATTCATGGGCCCCCTAGGCCCTGGTTCCTGATTAAACAGGACTGGGGGGAAGCCAAATGATTTACACTGCTAACAATTATTAGGTTGTAGGAAAAGTCATGATGTATTTTTCTGTTTTTCTATGCAAAAGTGCATCATGACTTTTCCAACAACTCAATAGTTACAAGGAGACAATGATGCTACTGATTCAGGAGACCACATTTCCAGAACCATGTAGCCAGGATATTAGCTTGGGGTTCTTAGCTTCTAGGATATGAACAAGACAGTTTCAGAGGCTCAGTCAGATGAGTTGAGAAAGATGCCATAAAAACAGCCTGGAAACCCTAAAGGGGAAAGGCAACATTAAGAACTTAACAACAAGAATGGAGGCAGAGTACTCATTAACTCTATCCCAGAAATAGTAACAGTAACATAATAGCTAACACTGTGTACCTGAGACTGTGCACGTGTCCTATATGCATTATTTTTCTTCATACTCAAAACAACTAAGGTATTATCTACGTTTTTTTTTTCAGATGAATTAAGTGATACTAAAGATGCTAGTAACTTACCCAAGTAACAGACCTATTAAGCGTTAAACCAAGATTGGAACCCTTGGCTTTCTAGTCCATCACCCAGCACCAACAGAAGTATGTTTCCTCCTCCCACATATGCTAACCCTTCTACCGTCAAAATCATACTTTTAATGCCAATTCTCAGTCTGCCTTTCCATAGCAGGATGATAGTTGATGTTAACCCCTGCACAGGAAATACAGATAAAAAGGCAACAGGTAAACGGATCTCAAGCTTGCTTATCTCGTATTTGTAAGTTTGTAGACACCAAAACATGCAAAGGAAACTCTTACCACACTTTAAATTTCTTAATTCTTGCATCTAGAATAGCCTTTCCCCAAATCCTCTTTTCTTCATTTACCTCAAAGATATATGAAGATTAAGCGAAAACAGATGAAGCAAGTAATTAAGTTCAGTGAAACTAACCGTGATATTACCGTTACATTAAAGCGTGTTTATAGGAACCAGAGCTCAGTAGCGAGGAGACTGAAGACCCATGTTTGAAAATTATCATCTTATTGGAGGTAAGTACAAGTTATGAAAGGATAAAGGATGACAGAAGAGGACACACTGAGAAACGAAGCGTCCCCAGGGCAAAACACCAGGAAGCAGAAGTATTCACGGCGCACACACAGAAAAAATTGACTACTAGTAACATATTAAAAACCAGTCACCACAGGGATCCCGTGCTGCGAAGATGCGTAACGGTGATACTTTCACGTCACCTTTAATCAAACACATTTCAGTAATCCCATTCACACTGATGGCCCTGAGACCTAGGCAACTTAGGCAAGGGGCCTTGGCAAGCCTGAACGACTCCAGAGGCTCGAAGTGAGTCGCAACCGAAACTCAATGAACACGATGAGGGACTTGTAGCAATATAAACATTGCGAAGAGGCAGCCTCAGGAACCTCACTAGGTCTGGCCGCGCAGGTGGAGAGCGAGTTCACAGCTGCCCATTCTCCACTCCTCGGCCCGACCCGTCTCACATCCCCACCTCGCGAGCTCGCGCGTGGGGGCGAGGAGAGCCTCTCCTATCCCACTGCCGCCCACAGCCGTACTGGGGGGTCAGCATCCATTTCTGGGCCCGGTTCACTTCCGACCCGAAAAGGCAACCCACCACCCCAATTCCAGCTCCCTGCTGGCGCGCAGGTTACGGAGTTCGATAATTACCTAGAGCTCCACCGAGCCGCCATTACACCGGATGTGCGTCACTTCCCCTTCCCGGGTACCGACAGCAAGAAGGCGGGGCGTTGAGGTACCTGAAAGCCTGACATTAAATTTACTTTATCCATTAATTTACTTTAAATATCATACCGTAATATCAGCTTCAAAGTAGCCGATCCGGCCACATGTTCTCCTTACGAAGAAAGAGACTAATGCGGAGTTGGCACGGACTACAGAGCCCAGCATCCACTGCCTGTGAGGGCGGAAATGACAAAACGCAATTGTAGTTGAAGCGCGGGGAGGCCGCAATGTTCGATGGGAATTGTAGTTCTTATGTGTAAGCCTCAGTGAGTACCTCCAGGTTGCCGACAGGAAACCTGGTAGTGATTGGAGTTGAACAGAATTTATTGTACTTTAGTCTAAAACTACAGCTGGCTAAAGAAAAGTAGTTGTTAGTCGTCACTTTTTTGTGTACATCTTGAAAAGAACAAAGACTTTTTTCGTACTTTTTACAGTAGCTTTATTAAGCCTATTATGCAAAAATGTTACCAGAGGTTTAGTATCAACTGAAGTCTAAAAGGTTAAGGCCAAGTGAACGGGAGGATATTAGGCCCTAAATAGAGTGAAAGAATGACAAGAAGATAATTCTAAAGAGACAGTTGTCGCAGGGTGCTCTGCTCAGGCCCACACTCGCAGTGAGACATGGGTTCTTGTCCCACACTCAAAAAAATTAGTCCTGGACTTAGAGTAAGTATAGCAAAGTGGGGAGTTTATTGAAAGAGAGGAGAGAAAAAGGAGAGCTCCCAAGAAGGGAGAAGTTCCAGAAAATGAGTTGCCAAGGAAGAACTGTGGTGAGGGGTTTTATTTGGATCTGGAAGGGATTTGTCCAGCCTCATTCTTGTAAGGAGTGGGTCGACCACACAAGGAAATAGAAATGTAGAGCCTTTATTGGGAGTGCTTCCAGGCGAGGTTGAGGTTTGGTGATCCAACAGAGAACGAGAGAGGGGGACAGAGAAGTCACACTAGGGTGGGGTTTAGCGATTTTTATAAGGGTGTAGGGAGGGAGAGTGTCTTAGAGGTAGGAACAATCCATGTATGGTAAAAGTATAGGGGGAGAGTAGACTACTGTGCCATGTGAAGTTTGGTGACGTGTGCAGAGTAGAACCCTGTGTGCAGAGTAGAGCGCAGTGTGCCACATCTGGGTTAGCCTTGTGCTCAACTCGGTATTTTAGTTCTGGAAAAGGAAAGTGATGCGTACAGGAATGGGAATGTGATGTACAAAAAGGAAAGTGAAGGAATGAGGTAGGGAAACAATTTGAGTTGGTCACATTCTGAACTTTGTCTGCATTAATATAGTTTAAAAGGAGGGATTGGCTGAAGACCTGTGATTGACTAAAGCCTAGGCTGCTGTTATTGGCTGTAACCTAGCGACCAGCTCAGAGAAACAGTTTAACATGTATGATTTTGGTTTATCCATAGGCATGCAAATGGAGTACAGTGGCCATGTTAGGCCTAAATAGTTTAACAATTTCCCCCTTTTTTGGTTAGCCTCTCAAGTGTTTGAGAGATTGACCAAAACTTTGGGTATTTGTGTCGCTTTCTGTCATCATCATAAATGATGTTTTCTTGCTCTCAGCATGGAAATTACAAGTTTTTTCTGGTCTGAAGCATGAACCACACGAGTCACAATATTACACATGTTGAACATGATGTCATTCAGGTCAACCAGGTCTTGTCATAGAATGGGAGAGTGTTGGGAGCCAGCAGTTAGTGTAATGGCTATGTCGCTGGACTCCCATGTAGTCGACCGTGGTTCGCGTCCCGGACCCGGTGACTTAAAACTCACGCCGGGCGCGTGTGCGTGCGTGCCCAAGATCCCAATAGGAGAATGGAGGAGAAGGGATTGCAGCGTGACCATCCCCCCTGGGGGGTGATTTCTCGCTTTCTATCTCTATATCTCTCTCTCTGTCTGGCGAGCGCACGTGCCCTATAGCGAAAACCTCTCAAAAAAAAGGAATGGGAGAGTGTTGAGCTGTGCTGTGTTAAATCCTTGGTCCTTTGGGTCCAGATCACTAAAATTAGAGACCTGTCCCTAAGCACAAAATAAAGCCACAAGCACAATAAAAGTAGATAGAAAAGAGAATTTAATAGTAAGAAAGATTTCAGAAAAGAAGTATACCCAAAAGACTTTTGGGTGGGCCGGTTGCTAGATAGCAACTGCTTTTGGAACTGGTTAGGTGTTATTTTTATTACCAGAGGTGATAATGAATATTTAACAGTGGGAGTTCTGTCGTATTATCTATGTTCTTTCTTTGAATTTGTGGCCTTTTGCCTGTGTTTGCACAGCTCTCTCACAGGTGAAGAATGGGAGGAACTGTATTACCTAACTGCACATGCCCAGTGTGAGCCATGATGATAGGAGCATCTTTATTAGAATGAACTGCCCAATTAGTTTATTGCCATAGTGGCAATCAGGATGTTGACCAAAATGCTTCGGTTTTTTTAATATTTGAGGAATGATAAGAGAGAAATTTACAATCATTCCTATGTTTCTTCCTCAGGTACTAAGGAAGAAAAATGGGATTTGCCTTGCCTTTCTGGCACCAGGAGCTGGGTGGGAGGAAGCATTTTCATGAAGAGTCTGGTTGTAACTCCTGATAATTGTGATGTGACGTGTCCTTCTGCTTTTCTCAGGGCTGGTGCTCATTATTAGCTAACTGCCTAGACAGTCTTCCTTTGTACTTTTACTGATCTGGCTGAAACAAGACCATTTAGCATCAATGGATGACTGCATATAAAGCATTTAAGATAAGAGTATAGAGCGCACCAGGAGGACTAATGTGATGATTAAAGTGTATGCCTTCTCAAAAACTTTTATGAAACAAACCGAACTAAATTGAACAGGTTAAGGTTCCAGCAACATAGGCAAGTTAACTGTATTTGAGTTTAGTAACACAAGTTATAATAATCTGGAGGCCTACTAGGAATAATATAAAGATTAAAAAACTTTGAAAAACCCAAGCCTTTCATTCACCATGTAGGATGTTTGCAAACCAACTATTAGTTGCACCTGTAAACACATTATTTGTTCTTTTAATTTGACTGAATTAGGTTAAAAAAAAAAACATGAGCCCCTAACTTGAACAAAAAGGAGATTTAATGCTGGATGATATTTTATTTATTTAGTTGTTTATTTATTAAGCTTTTTTTTTTTTTGGTTAAACCATTTACCTTTTGGAGGGTGACTTTTATTCACCTGAAACCACAGGGGGTTTTATTGGTTATAAAGTTTGAAAATTTTCTCCAGTTTATGGATAAGCTTTAAATACAACCAATATCCCATTATGGCCAAAATTGAATTTCCAGTAACCTCACTAAAATTTTTTCTGCATTAGTCCATAAACTTAACAACTGTTTTGGTCTTATGCTAGAACATAAGTTAAAATTAAAGTTAACTACTAATTATGGATTTTCCTATGGGGAAGAGGAAAGAATTAAGACAATAGGAATTGAGATTTATAAATGAAACAATATAACGTTTTCATGATGGCAGAGAAGTCTTGATCTGTGATACTCGGCCATAGCTGTCTGGCTTGTCCAAGATGTCTGATTTGAAGAAGAAATTTTCTGGTCAGTTTTACCTTAAAGTCTCCAATAGGTGCACGGTTTTAAAAATCTGAAGTAATGCTTCTGAATTGTGAACCAGAGTTTAAATTCTTGAAGCTCTACTGCAGTGTGAGCGGTGAGAAGAATTTGGTACAATGTCTTCCAACAGGTCTCACAGGCAGCCTATTCCTTTTTTTAAGACCCCTACTCTGGACCATGAATGATTTGATTATCTTCAATCAGTGAATCACAACCAGCATTCTTTACCTACTAAAAATCCACTTTGGCATAATGCATTAAAGCCTGGAGGAATTTAGTCACCTCAGATTTTTCTAGAAATGTCTCTTGAGAGAAAACATTTTCTAATAACCTTTTCTTTAAGAGATATTTTTGCTATAGGGCATGTGCACTCACTAGAGAGACAGAGAGAGAGAAAACAAGAAATCACCCACCAGCAGGGATGGGCACACTGCAATTCCTTCAGTCTCTCTGGATTTTGGGCATGAACGCACATATATCTGGCATGAGTTTCAAGCTGTTGGGTCTGGGACTCAAACAGTGGTTGACTACGTGGGAGTCCAGTGGCGTAACCATTCTGCCATCTGCTGGTTTTTTTTTTTTTTTTTTGAGAGGTTTTTGCTACAGGGCACATGCGCTCACAAGAAAGACAGAGAGAGACAGAGACCAGAAAGCGAGAATCACTCCCCGGGGGGGATGACCACACTGTGATCTTTTCTCCTCCATTCTTCTCTCAGGATCTTGGGCATGCACGCACATGCACCCAGCATGAGTTTAAGCCACTGGGTCCAGGACTCAATCTGCACTCAACTATATGGGAGTCGAGCAACATGGCCATTATGCCAACTGCTAGTCCCTTCTCTACTAACCTTTTAACTACAGTTACAACATTACTTTTCCTGAATTTCCTTAAAGATATAACACTTTAAGATCATAGTCATTTGAGGGACCAGCAGTTAGCGTAATGGCTATGTCGCTGGACTCCCACGTAGTCGACCGCAGTTTGTGTCCCGGACCCGGTGGCTTAAAACTCACGCCAGGCGCATGTGCATGCGTGCCCAAGATCCCAAGAGGAGAATGGAGGAGAAGGGATTGCGGTGTGGCCATCCCCCCTGGGCGGTGATTTCTCGCTTTCTATCTCTCTGTCGCTCTCTGTCTGTCTGGCTAGCGCACGCGCCCTATAGCAAAAACCTCTCAAAAAAAAAAAAAGATCATAGTCATTTGAAAAAAAGCTTTCTAGCAAAGCACTAAACAAAGAAACTAACTATGGAAAAAGAAGAATTAAACCAACCCCAACCATAGTTAAAGATTTGACAAGAGTTTACAACTGAAAAAGAAATTTGGCTATATCTGTGACATACACTAATTTAACATAATAACCTACAACATGACTGATAAATATCACACTATAGGTTTCTGGGAATTTCTATTTTGGAATGCAGTTCATATATAAATATACACATATGTAAATACACATATACACATAACATATTTATACATATCATTTGAATATGTAAAGAAAATTAAGATAACTTAATTTGATGTTTTCCATATTATTTAACACATTAAA